GAGTTTGAGTCTTGTTGGTCCTGTCTAATTGATAGGTATGATCTCACGAAACATGAATGGCTTCAAGCAATTTACAGTGATAGGCGGCAGTGGGTACCGGTGTACTTGAGGGATACATTTTTTGCAGAAATGTCAATAACACAGCGAAGTGATAGCATAAACTCTTATTTTGATGGATATATCAATGCATCAACAACGCTTCAGCTTTTTGTCAAGCAGTATGAGAAGGCTTTGGAGAGCCGTTTTGAAAAAGAAGTCAAAGCTGACTATGATACTATTAACACTACTCCAATTCTGAAGACTCCATCACCTATGGAGAAACAGGCAGCGGGAGTTTACACAAGGAGGTTGTTTATCAAATTTCAAGAAGAATTGGTTGAGACATTAACATTCTTGGCAAACAAAGTAGACGAAGAAGAAATTATTACCGTGTACAGAGTTGCCAAATATGGGGAAATGCACCGAGCCTACTTTGTCAACTTTAATTCGTTTGAGATGAAAGCTACTTGTAGCTGCCAGATGTTTGAGTTTTGTGGTCTAGTTTGTAGACATATATTGACTGTTTTTAGGGTGACAAACCTTCTTACTTTACCATCTCATTATATTTTAAAAAGATGGACCAGGATTGCTAAAAGTGGTGTCATATTGGATGAACATACTACTAATTTGTCAAATGGTTCTCACGAATCTCTAACCTTCCGATTCAGAAATCTTCGTCAACAGGCCCTTAAATATGTTGAAGAGGGAGTAACCTCTTCGGAAGTTTATGATGTAGCAATAAGTGCTCTTCGGGAAGCTGCGAGTAAGGTGGCATCTGCAACAAAAAATGATGGAAGACAGGTTATTGTAAACGGAACTTGTGAAGAATACCTTCATCAGAACAATGAAACAACTATAAGACGCAGTGATCCTCCATTTTGCTCGCAACAATCTTCATATAAGGTCTGTTGTTTTTGGTAATTTATGATATAGCATATTTTTCTGCTGGAACATTTCTGTATTCTGTACTTTTGTTGTTCATAGATTTTCTCATATGTTATATTATTATGCTCTTTTCAAGTTTAAAGGAAAGTGGTTTATAAGAGAAGACAGTAATTCTTCTAACCTTTTATTTCAAAGGAAAATAAGTCCCACTTGTCCTCTTCATTAAGTAGTATTCTCAAAGGTTGTTTATGAGCCAGTTAAACTGGTATGATAATATGGTGCAATATCAAAAACTCTCCCAATTGGTATGAAATATTTTTCCCATTTAAAAGATTAGATATTTTTGAAGTTTCCATTCTACTAATCATAATGATGCTGTTCCAAAATTTCTATGGATAACATTCTTCGTTGTGATTTTTTTTGAAAAAGATTAACAGTTCAACTGTTAACTTTCTCCCTTCAAATTTTGGAGAACTTCTCCCTCAAAACTCTCATAAAGTAAATCGGTGAGGACTTGAAAAGGCCCTGCTCCAGTGCATTCAGTTAATTCTTCCGCATCAATTTAGATTTCTTTTTTTAAACAATAGTCTCTGGTCTTGTTCTGGAATTTCATTGTTTGCACATATGCTGCCTGGAGCCTCTTTCTGCTAGTTATAGTTGCTAAAGCTTTTCAGCCAATTGAATGTTCAATTGCATCCAGAATAACTATCAATATGGACCTTTGGTATATATAATCTTGTAATTGTAGTACAAAAAATATCATACGTACCCGTATGAAACTGACATGCTACAGTTAGTTGAAACCTAGTTGATGTAGGACAAAGATTTCTGATACCACTGGATGTGATTTGAATAGTACAATCAACAATGAAGAGGAGACAAAAAAATTACGAAGAGTAGAGAGATATCATTATCTGATGAGAATTATGATATCCTCATTCAAACTCAGTTTTGCCAGTGAAAATTACTATCTTTTGCAATTAAGTGAACCCTTTGTTAATTCTGATTCTATCAGGACAAGACACCTTGAATCCAAATCAAACAAACAATGTCAATTTTATGATTAACTTTTAAGAGTAAAATCAAAATCAAACTTTCTGAGAGGGTTTGGCATATCTGGTTTAAGGAAATTAAAGAGCTTGGTTAGTGAGAGGGTTAAATGTCTCGAGACCTAGAGACACCATTCCTGTTACTGGAAGAGTTGTAATAGATACTTTGACAGTCTATATTAGTGATAATAGTTCTGAAAGATTAAAATTTGTCAAGAAAATCTTGGTCCCTTATCATAGATAATCTTATTAATTTGCTGTATGATATTTTCAGAGGGATTACACATGTATTGATTTAGATCTTCTAAAACAAACACTTTTTGTTGTTTTCTAACCTCCACCCCTCTCCCAACTTATCCTCTAATGTTTCTAACGAACAATATAATTTGTTGTAGGATGACCAGGATAGAATAATTGAGAAGTTGACACGGCAACTAGACCGAGCTCGAAGGAAATGTGAAGTTTACAGGTCCAACTTGCTGTCAATTTTAAAAGACATTGAAGAGCAGAAGCTACAATTATCAGTTAAAGTCCAAAATGTTAAGTTGGGAATGAAAGAGTGATTTGTCAATAATGGAATTGATTAATGTATTTCTTTCATGTAATTGTAGGTTCACCCTCTTGTAAAGCATCTAGTTGGGTACATGTTTTAGTGAAGTTGAGAAAGATTCCCAAGGCAAATTTCTAACCAGTTTTACTGAGGGTTTCAAACTTGAGTGCAAAATCATCAAAACTGTGTGAAAGATCACACCTATCCCATCATCATAAGAGAACCAAGAGTAATTCATACCAAGTAACCAATTCATTACAGTCCAAATCAGAATGAAACCCAAAATTTACATAGTCTAATTTTATGCTTACGTTTTCTACTATACATTTTAATCTATCTTCTTTATATTTGTTAATTTTAGTTCAGCATTCGTTCAATCATTCACCTTAATCTTTCTTGCTTAACCTTTTTATTCTCTACCAATATAGAGTATGCAATTACTCTTATTTAGTGCTATTATTTCACTTGGTTCTCTTTATTTTTTTGTTGAACTACTTGTTTCCGTTGTTTACAAAATTTAATATTCAAACTGGAGAAGAAAACCTGGTTTGAGTGTTTTAATTTCTTTTAATTTAATCTAAAATGTTTAAGTATTTATTAAGTCGTATTAAGTATTTTCTATATTTTAAATTAGTACTACATTAAGAGACCGGACTCAACCTGGTTTATACAATTCCAGCTAGTCGCATGACGACAACTTCTTCCTGCACCTTCATAATTTCAGTTTGCAATTCCATAAATTTTTATATTTCAGATTATACAATATCTAATATAAATTTTGCATTCTGAATAATCTTCAATATACTTTTTATTTTTTTTATTTCAGAATATAAAAATTATATTTTGAATTATATATTCTTAAATATAAATTTATTTCAAATTATACAATTTATATTTTTTATTTTATATTCTAAAATGTATAATTCAAAATATAAAATTATATTATATACTGTACATTCCGAAATATAAAAATTTTCAGGATTACGGGTTTAAATTTTGAAGTTGCAGGAAAAATCTGCTCCTGTGACACATACCCTGATCAACCCTTCGTAGTTTTGCCAGTGTTATTCTTATTATCCTGCTAATTGTAACAGAGGTTCCAGACTAACAAATACTTTGACACCATTCACCATATTAAGGCAGGTATAAATGTGTCCATGAACTGAAATCTATAATTTATACTAAAAAGTAATAAATTGTTGAGTAAAAGTATGAACTAGAAACTCTATTGAATTTGTAGAACAGAGAAACACAGCAGGAATTCAGAAATCCGAAAAATGTTATTGATATACAAAGAATACAATAGTTTGTTACAAACTACATACATAATTTGAGCTCTATTTCTATTTATAAGCTATAAATAGGCAGTTATGCGGTTTACAACCAGTTAATATGCAATACTGAAAAGATAGCTACTCCCTCATTTCCCTTTATTCATCAATTTTATTCCCAAGATGGTAGTTGTTCGTATTACTAGCAATTTATAGCCTAACTTACATTTACCAACTCCATCCCAAAAAAATAATAAATAAAAAACCATTGAAAATATGGTACAATATTAAGGCCTAGTTCAAACAATTTTTAATTCAAGGTTTGGATAGCCAGCAGGAGCTTTGTGCCTTTCAAAGAGATCTTGAAGTGCTTCCACAAACTTACTATGTATCTTGGCAACCTAAAAGAAGGATTAAATAATGAAAGAGGTTAGAAATTCGGCCAACTGGACCTCAATATTTGAAGATATCAATCGTAGTAACAAAACTTCCAATTCATCATATGATGCTAACTTTAGGAAATCATATGTACGCATTGGCGGTATTCATAATTAAGTCTTCGATAATGAAACTATGCAGACAAGTATTTCGTGGACTGAACGGATACATTTAGGTGTTAGAGATATAAAGCTGGTTTATTCATTAAAGATATAGATTAAAATATAAAAATCAGACATTTGAAATTTAGTTTTGAAAAATACAAAAAATAAATAAAAATAGTTCAGTTAATACAAGATTACTAACTAGTCACTTTGTAAATTCCCTTATGCCTTATGTTAATTGAATAAATTTGATCATACGATTAGATAAAATAAGGAAAATAGAAGTCTTTTAAGGATAAGTAATTAATTGACAAGAAAATAATATTGGTTGTGCTTAATATACCCAGAATATTTGTATCAGAAAATGCGGGTGGTCCTACTGAGAAGGAAGATCGTAGTTTGTCATATGGGGGAGAGATTGCATCGTACTCGAACACTCTAGCCAAGGATAAGACTTATCGATCAAACCAGACGCAAGTGTTTTGTTTAACTACTCCAACTTCTGTTCACTACCATCTTTGTTAATTTAACAAGAAAATTTAATAGCTAGGGAGGGATCTAAATTACTGGATCCTTGTAAATTATATTTAACATAAACGCTGCCCAATAGGCACATACCTCCTCGGTAGTTGGGTTGGGGTTTTTGGTGAGCTCAATTGGTCTTCCCACCACCACATGCATTGGGTATCTGAACGGTAATGGAGATCTGAAAAGGATATTAGAAAATCTGCTTTATAACAATAAAAACTAATAGTAAGAACAGAAACTTCCATGCTAGCTAGTTTAGACTCTATCTTTATGTACCAACAAATGGCTATACGACTCAGATCAATTACTCAGTGCTACGTGAATGTCTTCAACATAGATTGAATATTTTCACCACACAAGCTTGCAAGCTATGAAAAAAACATAAATTGCATAAACTATATCTAACTAAAATATCTTGAAATTACACAAATTTCCTCAGCATGTTTTACCTTTACATTAACCTTTCATTTAGGTGAACTCACTGTAATACTTTTCAATCAATGAAGGGGAAATATCGTGGTATGTAAAAGATGTTGATGTAATGGTTTTGAAACAAGGAATTATTATAGGACAGAAAAAAATAGAGAAAGTTAGGGTAATTTCAAGAAACTTTGGGGTGGTCTGTGCAATTTATTGTATTAAAAAATTTGATGGGGGAAAGATATACATCCTGCATAATATCATTTTGAATCCACCTTTTCCAATCACATTTAGTTAATATTTTAAGCTTATTCCCAACTAAACTCGAACAATCATTTTTACTATTGTTTCTACATGTATTAGCCTAATACTATTACGTGTCAATTCCTTTTGTTGTTAATTTAAACATAAAAGGAAACATATTAGGTGAGAACATGTAAGAAATTAATCTTGATCATAAAGACAAAATGAATGGTTAAGATTAAATTTAAGTGAAAATTTCATCCATCCTTGAAAAGTTGTATGGCCGAAATTAACTTCTCTCACTTCTAGCCATCCTCCATAACATTTTAAATGTGGAAGGCAGGATTTCACTTTTTACGGTAGGATTATTATATTGAACGTTTCATTCTCCCCAATTTAATCAATTTCACAGCCTCAACTTCAAGCATGAAATATTAGTTAGATTCATTCCTTTTTGAAGATTCTTTAGTAACATAGCCAGTATAAACAGGTGTAATAAGAAAAACTTGCAGGTTGTCACCAAAGAAAAACGCACCCGAAAATTCCCCAAAAACATATTGGGGTAAATTTGATAGCTCTTGCAACTTTCAGGAAGAACTTCCCACCTGGTTTCCACCACTTATAGACATTTGACTACAAAAAAAGTTATAGCAAAAAGGATAATTATCTTCAAGTTCTACTGTATGTGCAAAGAAATGTCACGACAAAACATATATCTATAGTAGTGAGAAAGCCTACTGCCACAAGAAGAATCTACAGCTAAAGGTCCCCAAATGTCACGAATAGCCACTAGAATTCAAGAAGTTTGGAGTATATCATACTGGATTGGGAAAAGGGATGGTAATGGGTCTTTCTCGGACAAAAAAGCTCTAAACCATTGGCATATTTATTAGGCCTGGGAATATTGCAGAGTGGCATAATTTTTTGCTTGTCATTATGACGAAGCGCAAATTAACAGTGCCAATTGGGTGAACTAACATGTCTATCAGGAATTACAAGAGCTAAACGTAGGAGATACAGACAGTAGTATATACTGCAAAAAAGGTAGAGGGTAAAATGTTGGAATTCTTCACACCGGGGACTAGCAGGAGGACCATCTCTTGGAATGACAATAATTGTCAATCTGTACAGTTCATCATGTCCCAGAGTCCCCGCCAGCTGCACTGTATACGAGTCCTGCGATTTAAGAAAATAGTTGGAGAGAACAAATTCAATGAAATTACTATCTTGAGCAAATTTGCTAATGCTAACAAAGTTCTTAGCGTCAGGAACAAGGAGTAAACTATTGAGGACCAAAGAGTGTAAATCAACCAATTTGATGGACAGACCTTGCCTATTCCCCATGATGACTTCAACTGATCTGCACAAGGGAGGAGTGCTTTGAATTGGATGCATGGGTCAGATGTAACATGATCGGTGGTGCATGAATCTGAAATTCATAAACCTCAAAGCCAGTAAGTAAAGACTGTGCCAGCTGTGGAGATGCAGAAATTAATTATACGCAACTTAGTCGGCAATTCTACATTACTGATGTGAAGGACAGCTTCAAACTGTGACAGGGGCATTCAGCATGGAATGGCAAGACTGGGATGAAGTGTTGAAGGACAACAGCTTGGAAAGCCAGAGCAACAGCCAAAAGGAAAAAGTTGGACACAAGAGGTCCCAGCCCTTGGTGATAATAGATTGAGGTCTCATGTTCCTGTCTAGTGACATATTTGTCATTGGACTGGAGACTGAGGATTAAGGTCCTCCTCATGTTACCACAATCTTGAGCTGCATTTTGATAGTCACCAGTCACCAGTAGGCAACCATAGTTAGCAGATGTTTTTGAGCCTGTGCCACTTAAACTGAGGTGGTTGAACTGAAGTTGGAACTAGTGCAACATTTGCCTAGATCGACTTAGTGAGAGAGAGATTCTTGTGCTTTGCCATTTGAGCTTTGTGAGCCAACAATAGGGACTCAATCTCTGATTGAAACAGGATCAGGACATCTTAGCACAGAGGTGACAAATGAGTCATATTTATTGGGTAGTCCACCCAAAACACCATCTAGGTGAGTGGGAGGAGAGACGGTCTCCAAAAGGCCCATAATATATCAGCAACGGATTGCATCCAAAGAAGAAACTCAGATTTATTTGCCCTTTTCACCTGACAGTGCACTAAAAGAATTGATGTGATTTTGCATGAGTGGAAGCATGGAAGTGAATGTGCACTTCCTCCTCCACTTGCAAAGAATGATAGAATCCAACTATGCAAGCTGAGAGAATCATCTAGAGATGAGAGAAGTCATGATAGAGAGAGAACATCTTGTGATTTCACTCAAAACATGCTGGATTTACTTCCAGTTTCACAATCTTCTTCAGTTAAAGTGTGATGAAATGGAAAGATTCACAATCAAACCCTGAAGCTTGCGCTCTCAAATCTTAGCTTCAACTTACTATTGCCATTGGAGGAAATTGTTATCATCGAGCTTGATTGGAGTCCACGAGAAAATCGTCAAAGGAATCACAGAGGAAGTCATCATGAATGCATTCATGAATAAAAAAGGAGCTCTATGATATATCATAATGGAAACTATGGTTCCTGATACCAGAGAATGAGCAGAAGAATGTAGAGAGAGAGAGAGAGAGAGAGAGAGAGATGCAGATGATTGTTGCACAGTAAACTGAAATTTGATTCCATCAGAAACAAATACCTGACCGAAGCAGAAAACAGGAACCAAAGGTAGGCCTTTCACCATTGATATGCGGACAAATCCTCTTCGTGCCTTAAGGAAAACAATCTACCAATAAGAAGAGTTCAAGCTGCTCAGTTATTTCTATGAAACAGATATATATTGAATAGAGCAAAGTCATTCTTAAAAGGCCTATTTTATGTATGCTATATTTACGAAGTAAAAAAATCAAAATCACCAAGAACCAAAGCTTATTAGACAGTATTCTTATTATCATCTTATTTTTGTTTTATATTTTATAAAATTTAACACACAATCAACATAATATATAGTTATATTCAACAGTATGATTGATTAAAATTATATATTGTAAAGTGTTAGAGATCGTAGTTGGTGTAAATTACATCGATATCATTTTATTACTTCTCACACACACATATATACACATTTTTTGTATTGATATTCGGGCATTACTCATCATCTTTTCTCGTCAACTCAACATGCTTTTAATTTCACACCTAGAGATAGCTCAAGTGTTATTGGCATGCCGAAAATACAATATAGTGAGCTGAATTTTAGGGTTGTTGATCTTAAAACTCAGACTAAATGAAGTAAACGAATTGCGTTTCTCTTTCCTCCCTTAAGACTACATAGAAATTATATACGACAGATAATAGGGAACAAAAAGTAATATACTGTTGAAATTTGAAACGCATGCAATTCTGAGTTGAGTCCCAGTGACACAAAAGTTGGGAAAATTGCCTGCACCGACTGCTGTATTGTTAAACTGGGCATCCATAGCAATCGTATAACTTGAAAATACTTTAAAATCTGATTCAATTCCTTAAATGTAAACCATTACTATATAGAACTATACCTCCCCAGAAATAATTACAATTAAAAACAACTCTTTGTATTCTTACAGCATGTTAATTGTAATAATTATAACAATTGATAATATCTCATCCTACTCAACACTATATGTAGAGGAAAGTCAAATTTTAATTTATTCCAAAAAAAAATCCCGTAAGCATTGAGTAAGAGAAGTGAAAAGAAATGCACCTCAATGCCATGTTGCATGAGGAATGTCTCTTGCACTCCACCAGGTGTTAAAATGCAACTATGGCCAGACGCTAGCAAGGAGATAAAGTTTTTCTTTGTTGCTGGTGTAAGACCCAACCATGTCCATATGTGTCTCAAAAATGGTGTGTAGAACACCTATCCATTAAACGTGAAGAGAAAATCTTGAAATGCAATCCGAAATTACCGTAATACATCTTTGCAGGATCCCAAGTAAAAGCTTTACCGTGCTGCTAGCAAGAACTCTAACTTTTGGAAGAGGCATGAAACCAGTGTGGTCAGCTAGTGCCACAATGCCAATTGGCAAAACCGAATGTGGTTCATAACCAAAAACTGCATGTTGGGCACACTGTTGTTACATAAGAGCCACGAACAAGAAGATTCAAGATACGACTAGACAGAATTCCAATGCTTATTAGGCTAAATTCTGCTGGCAAATTAAGCACCATTCAACCATAGGAACAAAAAAACCAGGAAAACTGGAAAATTAAAGAAACAGTGAGTTTGTCTTTCATAGAAAGCAATTATAGGAATTATCCGAGGCTTAACCAACAGGAAAATATAAAGTATATTGTAAGCTGTCCTAATTACACATATAGATCTCCAGCAACTAAGGCCAACAAGAGACTAGGCTTGGTTAAAGCTTAATCATAGTTTTTATCTAGTTCATTTCAAGGTTAAGCTAGAAGTTATTTCAACAAGGACAGTTAGCATCATAATTGAGGTTTTAATTTAAACAAAATATGTAGTTTTATGAAAAGCTGGTCTATGCAGCCAACAAAAGACCAAATATTAATAGTAAAAATTCAATGGTTAGCCTAATTTTGTACAGATAAGCCGAAAAAAAATCCATTTGGACTAGGAAAAGGTACCAAAGTAGAAATCTCATGGAATTGACTGATCCTGTCGTTTTACCAATTAACAACACAGAAAAAGTCCCATACAAGATAGAACTTTAAGCAGAGGCACACACATCAAGGAGCACCGCGTTAACCAAATAACAAAATATAATAAGATTTAGACTGGTAACTTAAGAAGAAAAAGACATTTCTCTGCTGCGTGTGGAACAGGAAAGAGGAGAGATAAGCTTAAGTTACACTAAAATTGTAGCGCCTATTGCACGATTGCAATTCATTCGCTAAGTACAACAGAGCAGATCGAAATAGCATTTCACCAGTTAATTAATCCCCTTTGGATTTAATAAACTTTTCACAAATTAGCCATTTAAGGAAATGAAGATTTAAACCTTCATTCATCTATAGCACCACTTTCCCAAGAATTATGTTTCTTCTTAAAGCAAAGACAAAGAACCTAAAAACAACTCCGCCCACTAAATAAAAATAGGAAACAAATTTTATCTTTCGTTCGATTTTTTCTAATTTATCTCCCATTTCAAGAGAAATTCATCTTAGGCTGGGAAGAAGGAGCGCAAACAAACCATAAGCACGGTTCGGATCAAAGGCGTTCATATCCTCTACGTGAAGCGTGATGGGAAAATAATTGCAAGCGTGTTTGCAAATGAACCTGAAATGTACAAATAGATAGATTCGAGCCATGCATTGTGAAAAGCGAAAAGGAAACGAGGTCAAAAAACTACCTCGACAATGTTCGGCCAAATCTGCTCTTCTCGTCGATAGGAAGCACTGCAAACACAAACAGAAAACCAAAAACCCTGGCACGCGAAACACCAAAACTCAATTATAGTGAATAAAAAAATGAAGAACGGCGATTTGGAGAGAGGTAGAAAACGAACAACAGTAATTTGGGGAGAGGAAGGAAGAAGAGGGCGAAGAGGATGAGGGCAATGTTGAAGTGAATGGCTCCCAGCCACAGCGCCATCGCTAGAATCGCGCTGAACGTGTTGGATGAGTTGCCGAATTCTTCTCTCCCACTGATGAATTTCTCCGCCTTGCCTCCGTCGTCAATGGCCGCCATGGTCCGAGCTCCGAGGGTGTGAGGGAACGGCGTCGTTTGGAGTAACAGAGTGCACAAGCACGCTGATGGGTGATGGAAACATGAGATAGGAGCCTTATGAAATTGTTGAAAGTGCAGAGGTGTGAAGTATAAAACGACAGTTTGGCTTCGTCACGTGATTTCAGTTAAACAATCAGTTGGTGGTAACGAAGAAAACGGTGCAAAAGGTTCAGTTACGCTGGCGCTGTAATTAGTCACGATGGCCCTCAGCTTCATCATTGCTTATGACTACATTTTATTTTTATTCCTGATTATATTTTTTAATGATTTTTGTTTTTTTTATGAATATGTAATTTTGATAAAAAAAATCATCTATAATATTTATCAAATAACTTTTATAATACTTAAATAAGTATATACTGTAGTCCACCAAAAAATTAATCTATAATATTTGTAGTAGTTGTATAGATATATATAGGTATTTTACCTACATTATATAATTTTTATATGATTTTATTTAAATTAGTGATTTTAGAATTCTTTTTGAATTTAGGTAAAATACAACTCACCTTAACAATTAAAGTTTACCATAAGATATATAACATTTTTTTATCACGTGCTCGTAACTATGTGAAGGAAATTATATGTCAGTTGGAGTACAATAAATGCATATCCTAATGATTGTTTGTTGTACGTAAATGAGTTTGTTGTATTGAAGGTAAAGCCGTCAAAATAGATCTAGATGGGTTAATATGATCTCGTTTGAGTCGGGTTGAATTTGAAAAAATTGTATTTTTTTTATACGGATCAGATTTCAATCTGTTCACGTGGGTTGAACTCATGGTGGACCGGGTAGTCCCACCAACCCACCTACCTAATTTTTTTTTAAAATTTAATTTTAATTCTATAAAAAAATATTTATTATTTTTTTTGCTTGAAAAAATTGTTTAAATTTTTTATTTCCAAAATTAATTAAACACACATGTTTGGAGTGAAATTTGTTTAGATTTGAATTATATAAAGTTTGTAAATTTTTTTATTTAAAAAAAATTGTTATTAAGTGAGCCAGGGAGTCAACCCGTTTATCCACCAACCTATGGTGGGTCAAGCCGGATTCGAATTTTTTTGGCTCGTTAACAAATGAGCTGGGTTGGGTTGGATCACTAAGTGACCAACCCGTGGCGGGACGAGCCGAGACGGGTCGGGTGGCCCGTTTTGACAACTCTAATTGAATGTGTCCCAACATGTGAGTAATCATAGTTTAAAAAACAAAAGTTGATGGAAATAGTGTTAATAAAGAAATATATGATCCCCAACTAAGGTGTTGCAGCACCTTTCCATAATACTTATGTTCAAATAATTGTTTTAGATTAAAGAAGATGCACAAAACCTGACATGACATGTAAATGGAAGAAAGTATGACAATTTTGTTGGACATCCAACTAACTTTTCACAATAGTAAAACTAAAAAGACTTGAACTTACTTAGTGAGTTTTTTTTTTTAAGTTATGGTAATTATTTAACTAACAATTTTTCCTTAATTGTAGGATTATAGGTGTTATTGACAATTAATAATCATTATTCTTCAAGAGTCTATGATTATGTTGGTTATATTCTATTAATAAGAAACTCAACATCTAAATAAAGACATTTCTACAAGAGTAATGTTACTACCTTAATAAACATAAATTTATGTCTGTTATAGCATGAATAGATGCAAATTTTGACATAAAAATATGAAAAACAAAAAATAGGTCAAAATAGACATAAATTTTGGTTTACCATATATACTTCTAAAATGGGTCTTTATCACTAAGTTAGACGTAAAAGACCTAAAATATCAAAAATAAAAAGTTTCTTTCATGTTAGTATCACTTGAGATCACTAGAATGCCTAAATTTAATTTTTGTATAACTAGCTACTTGCTTGTCTAATGAGTTTGCATAAAATAAAAAAACTTAACAGATGTATCATATCATGTATTTAGTTCATCTAATTATTATTAAACATTTATTAGTTCAACAATTACATCCACTCAAGTTCAAAATACATCAAATTGACCAAAATGATACATAGACTATTCAACAATAACACTACTTCAAATCACACAAATTTCACACATATAAGATATATATCACATATTCAAGTTATTTCACCTAAGACCAAAGACCAATCATACTAATTCATCAACATTCAAACATATTAGTTTGTTCAATCAAAGCATGAACATGTACAAAAATAATACTAGTTTTCCTTACGGATTAAAAATCCTAAAGTTTCACAAATGTTACATACTCAAACTTAATAAATATTTCTAACTACACAAAGTTAGCTAAAAAATATAAACATATAATAGACAAATAGAGATTCATTTTTCACATGGATTATAGAGCTATATATATAACTCAAAATGCAAAGGTGACTTAACCTAGAGTAAAAAATGAATATATCTTTAATTATATGATGATTATAGGGATAAAACTCTAAACATGAAAATGAAATAAAATTTCTTAAAAGAGTATAAACGAAAATATGGTAAAGAATTTGAAAAAAAAATAATTTTATAAAATAAAGCTCAATTAATAATTTTTTATTTATAATTTAAATTTTTAATAATAACATATGAACATCATCTTTTAAAACTATGCTGTAATTAAACTATTTTATAACTCTTACACTAACCAATATTAAAATACACGTCAATAAATAAAAAAATCATAAGTATTAGTATTCAATGCATGTTTTATATTAAATGTTTTAACTATGTTTAATACTCAGAAATAAATATTTTTATGTATTTAATTTCACATTTAAGTATGTAAAAAATAATTAAAAAATCCCCACTTTTTCATTCATTTATTAAAGGAAATAAATAATAAAAATAAAATTCTACCTGCTTTCTTATTTATTAATTTTAATAATTTGTGGACCTGCTTGTGTCATACTATTCTTTACACCTCTTTTCCTTTTCTTTAGATAGTGGGAGATTATAACATTCACATTTAAATAACTTTTATTTATATTTTAATTTACAATTTTTTAAATTAATTTAATTAATATATTTACTTGTTATCTTAATATTACTTTAATTATATAAAAAATAATATTATAACTAAAAAATGATTTTATAATATTATAAATTCAGTTCATTAATTATTTAATTCAAATACAATCTAATTTTAAATATTAAACACAATAAATGATAAATTTAATTAAATTCTAGGTACTTAATAAATCTAAAAACTTTTAGTTAAGTCTATGGATATATTAAGTACTAGAAAAATTACATTTTATAGTTTTAATTTTGTAACATCCCAAAAATATTGTATAATATTATATAAAAGAGTCATCACATGTATGATATGGTAAAACAATTATTAACTAACATATAAAGTAAAGATTTACAGTCATCCAAAATAACCATAAGCTTTAAACTTTATATACAAACATCCTAAACCAAAACTAATTACAATCATTGCTCCGAAGAAAACTACACTGCAACATCGTCCCTATCAAGAGTCTGCTCCAAAGACATCTTATCTCCCTCTGCTCACACCCACATGATGATCATAGCGAAGAGAGAAAACAAATACAAACATATAACACAAACACAGGTAGAAGGGTAAGCTAGAAGAAAACAAATAGTGATATACAAATACACACTAGTGACATATTAATCATTCTTGTAAAAAAATTCACACATAACATATCAACTCCAAATAAAATTTATATAAATAAATCACTCATAGACTTGACCATCCAAATTAGTATGAATATGTAGCTATAGTAGTTCGTGCACTTGTTGTGGTGAAACAGCTGGCCCACCCCAAGCTACCACACAAGGTTAGTCCGTTATCACTCACATTAGGCTAGGGTAAAGCCCCTAGGTTAGGACTTCTTGTTATTCTCACGACATGTCTCACCCCTCTCTACTTGAGAATAGGTGACCATTAGAATGTTAGGATGAACTCCAAGACTGAGCTTCCCATATTCATACTTACAACATTTGCAACCACCACTGAGAAATTCCTCCTTGGGATTCTCTTCCACACCATTTGAAACCACATCTTCAAGTATTATTAACAAAAAACCACATCTTCTAACTAAACAGTTAAATAATCATAAACCATAAAACTCACACCACATACTTCGATTAAAAGCAATTATCTAGCTTCTCTTACCTTTAGTAACCTCGCACCGTTCTAGAAAATACCCAACTGTGATTTGTGCCGCAAGGAACTTCTAAAAACACCTACTAATCATCGAATGGTGATAGAAGAGAAACCTTAGAGCCTAAATTGAGTCAAGAATTGAATAAGAGTAACTCTTGCTCCATGCAAACATAAATCCTTTTTAGGATTAAGAACCCTAAACACCAAAGAAAGGGGTTTACCACTTACGTGCTCGATTCAACCAATTGATCGGTCAGATTGGTAGCCCTTGTCGCAGGGATTGTCTAGACACTTCCTGATCGTTGAACAGATGACCCAAGAGTGAGAAAAGTTAGAGAGAAGTGAGAAAAAACAGAGAGAATATTGTTTTAAAGAGATAAAATGTATTTAGATAATGAGATGAATTTTAGAAAATTCTATTTATACTATAAGATTATTTTAAAATAAAATACTCGGTCACATTATTTTAATAGACCTATCTACTATAATACTCTATTTTCTAGGTTCTTACACGTCAAATATAAATAGTAGAAATTTAATTAAGAAATGTAATTTTTATTAAGTTCTAACTTATATTTAGTTTAAAATTTCTAATTTATGATGAGCTTAAAATTTAATTAAACTAAAGTTTAATGAAGACTCAATTAAATTTTTTAAAATTTATGTTAATATAAAACTTAATTAAATCTATAATAAATTTATCTTTCTAATAAATTTATCCTTAAATTTATACTATATTTGTTAATAATATATTTAATTAGTAATTTATAAATTTATATAAAAAAGATACATTTTTATGGTTTCGTTTTTTGGTTTTTCAATTTTATCTTCTTAATTACTATTTTTAAATTTAAATAATTATATATAATGAAAAATTATTTTATAGTTCTAACATCATTACATAAAGAAGATATCTATACTCAATTTCATCCTCTTAATTACTATTTTTAAATTTAACTAATTATTTATAATACAAAAATATTTTTCAGTTTGATCATTTTACTAATTATTTTGTTAATTCAAATAATTACTCGTCATAAAATAAATATTTATTCTTTTATCATTGTAATAACTACTTTTTTTAAAAAATAATTACTCATAATATTAATTACACAATATTACTTATACTATTTTTATTTTAATAACTAATTTTTTTAAAAGATATATATAATTATATACACATTTTAATTTTTAATTTTACTTTTTTAATTATTACTTTTAAAATTTAAATAATTTATAAATATTTTAAAAATTCTAAGCGTGCATACTTGTTTATGTTAATTTTGTCTTTGTATTTAATTAGTTTTTTTTTATATAATCAGGTCACTATTTTTACCTAAAGACTTGTGTTTGTTTCAAATTATGAATTTAATGAAAAATGAATAAATGAATTTAAAGGAATAGAAAGAAAATCGTGGTTAAAAGCGAAATAAAAGTAAAATAATTTAATTAAAAATATGTATAAAAAAATCTATGTTAAGTTATTTTTCTTTTCTAATCCCTTCATCAATGTGAGGATTAGATTTAGTTTTTTTTTTCTTTCCTTCAAATCAATTCTTCACAAATTAACATAAATAAGTGAAAGTAAACACAGAAAATACTTGTTTTTCCATTTAATGTAACTATATATCCATGAAAACAAATACAAAGTCAATGTAACTACTTTTATTAAATTAACATTAATATCATTAATATCCTTTGAAAATGTCATATACCAAAATTCTATATATATATTTGGGTTAAATATGTTTTTAGTCCCTAAACTATTGGCCGTTTCTGGTTTTCGTCCCTCTTTCAAAGTAAGGTACAATTTGATCCTCATTCTTTTCGAAACGTTCGTTTTTAAACAGTGTTAGTTTTCGAGGACTAAAACGGACGTTTTCGAAAAGAATGAAAACCAAATTGTACCTTACTTTGAAAGAGGGAAGAAAACCAGAAACAACCAATAGTTTAGGGACTAAAATCATATTTAACCCTATATATTTTTATCATGAAATCCATTTGATTTTAATACATCACATTTTAAATAAATGATACCTTCAATTTTGAAGTATATCATCCCCAAATTTAAAAACTTCCAACTACTCGACTAAATACAAATAAAATATAAGCAATTGAGAAAAAATAAAATATAAAAACGGTAACGATAAAAAGACTAACATATGGACGAGATCCAAATTAAGCATCAATAAAATTTAGCAAATTTTGCTTGGGAAGAGTAATCCCCAAGGACAGAGTAAGCTATAAATACACTCATGTACCCATCATCTTCTTCGTCAAATCCCAGAAAGATGTCCCTTGTCTTTTAGCAACATCTTTCCTCCAAATCTTCTCCAAAATCCAAAATTTCATCTTTCATCCAAGTCTGATTTCTTCGCAACAAGTCAGTCACAAAGAACCCCAAATTAACATAATCCATTATCTTCGTCACTATGGGCAACCCGATCCTCATAGGTCCACCTGAACTCTACATCGCCGGACCCACCGCAACCCTCACCCAAACACCCGTAGCCCCGACTCCATGCCCGATCCCAACAGTCACAGGCACCACTCCAAGTGACCCCTTCATGGACCAAATGGTGTCCGCATTCAACACCTTATCAACCCCAAACATGACCCTAACTGAAAATTTCTCCCCAACATTTCTCACTACGGGGAACCCATGTGTGGACTTCTTCTTCCACGTGGTTCCGGACACACCACCAGAGACCCTTCTCCAAAGACTCCAACTTTCGTGGGCCCATAACCCCCTCACCACCCTAAAACTCGTTTTTAACCTCCGTGGCATCCGCGGTACCGGCAAGTCCGACCGCCGGAACTTCTACGGCGCAGCGATCTGGCTCCACCGCCACCACCCCAAAACCCTTCTAGGTAACATCCCCTCCCTCGCTGACTTCGGATACTTCAAGGATCTCCCCGAAATCCTTTACCTCCTTCTAGAAGGTTCCCATGCCCGTGAAATTCAGAAAAAAAAGGGGATTAAGACAAAACGTGGGTTGAACAAGAGGGAAAAATCGGGGACTGGGAAGAAGCAGAAGGGAGAAACGAAGGCTTTGAAAAAAACAGTCGATGCCGCGAAGGACAAAACCGAGTCTTAGGAGAAAGCAATTGCGCATGTTGCCAGAGAAGAGAAAAAGGTGGCATTGGCGAAGAAACTCGTTGATCGTTATACGAACGACCCAGATTTTCGATTCCTTCATGATCGTGTCTCTGATTATTTTGCTGAGTGTTTGAGGAAGGATCTCGAGTTTTTGAAATCTGGGTCGGTGACGAAAGTCAGTCTTGCCGCGAAATGGTGTCCCTCTGTGGACTCATCTTTCGATCGACACACTTTGTTATGTGAAACTATTTCGAAGAGAGTTTTTCCTCGTGAAGAATATAATGAGTACGAGGGGGTTGAGGAGGCGCATTATGCGTATAGAGTTCGCGATCGGTTGAGGAAGGAGGTGTTGGTGCCTTTGAGGAAGGTGTTGGAGTTGCCTGAGGTGTTTATAGGGGCCAATCGTTGGGATTTGATTCCTTACAATAGGGTTGCTTCTGTGGCTATGAAATTTTATAAAGAGAAGTTTTTGAAGCATGATAATGAGAGATTTAAGGCTTACTTGAACGATGTGAAGTCAGGGAAGAGTACTATTGCTGCTGGTGCTTTGCTTCCTCATGAGATCATAAGGTCATTGGATGATGAGGATGGTGGTGATGTGGCTGAGTTGCAATGGAAGAGAGTGGTTGATGATTTGAAGAAGAAAGGGAGTATGAAGAGTTGTTTGGCTGTTTGCGATGTGTCTGGTAGTATGAACGGGGTGCCTATGGAGGTGTGTGTGGCATTGGGGTTGTTGGTGTCTGAGTTGTGTGAAGAGCCTTGGAAGGCGAAGGTTGTGACTTTTTCTGATAAACCTCAACTTCATTTGATTGAAGGGGATGATCTCAAGTCCAAGACTCAGTTTGTGAAGCAAATGGAGTGGGGGTGGAACACTGATTTTCAGAAGGTGTTTGATCTCATGTTGGAGGTGGCTGTGAGTGGGAATCTGAGGCCGGATCAGATGATAAAGAGGTTGTTTGTGTTCAGTGACATGGAGTTTGATCAAGCCTCAGCAAACCCTTGGGAGACTGATTACCAAGCAATCACTAGGAAGTTTGGAGAGAAAGGGTTTGGTGATGTGGTGCCTCAGATAATTTTTTGGAATCTGAGAGACTCGAAGGCCACCCCAGTGCCAGCTACTCAGAAAGGAGTGGCACTGCTCAGTGGGTTTTCTAAGAATTTACTCACAATGTTCTTGGATAAGGAGGGGGAGATAAGCCCTCTAGAAGGCATGGAAGCAGCGATTTCTGGGTCAGAATATCAGAAACTAGTTGTGCTGGATTAGTGAATTACTCAATTTTTATTTCTTATCTGATGCTTTTAAAATAATATAAAAGAATCGGAAACACAAAAGATGTGGTGCAATTTTCTATTCCTATCTTGCATGACATGTTTGCGATTTTGTTATAATTTTAAGATTTTGTTCTGTTAGATGCATTGGCTGATTTGTTAAGAAATGTTAAAAAGTTGGTGGGTCCTGATGATCAATATGCACCATCTGAAAACTTGCCATTTCCATGGAAATACATTTGCCGTGCGTGCTTGTATTATGCACCTGTACTCTCTAATTTTTGGACAAAGAGTCTCGATGAGAGGTTAATACTATTTTGATTACTGGGGTGTAGAAAATTGTTTTGGTGTTCGTGTAAAATTTTCCTTTAGTTGGGTACTTGTTTAGTGAAGTTGGGAAAGATGCCTAAGGGAATTTCTCACCCTGATGCGTTTGAAGCTGACCTGCATAAATGTATTAACCTGACAGAGTCGATTGAGGAGTTTGAGTCTTGTTGGTCCTAGCTAATTGATAGGTATGATCTCACAGAATTTGATAATTTTTTTTTAGAAGCTTTGCTCGTGAATAAATCCCATAAAAATGAAAAATGTTGCCAAACTTTATGATAACTGAAGGTTGAACTGGTTCCAAAAATGATGTTCTTTAAAGGTTGGTTAAACTGATATGAAAAAAAGTGCAATATAATAAACTCCCAATTATTATGAAATGATTTCCCCTTTTAAGACATGTTATGCTATGAAAAGGTAAATGAAATGTGTTTTTCTAATCTTTTTATTAAATTTATTCTTTCATGGAATTTATTCGATGCTGAATTGTATTTCTTTCATGGGCAGGCAGATGTGATTCCTACAATGGTTAAGAAGGAAGATTTGGGTTTGTGGGAAGAGAAGGAGGTTGAGGGGAAGAGTTATATAATGCATAATTTCAAAAATGATTTTGGGTTTGATCCTCTCGGTAAACACCTTATTCCTACATGAAGCACACTGATACTTTCATTTGTTTTGCATATATCTAACACGGATAATTCAGTTCTTTAAATTATCCAAGCCTTAAGAAAAGTATGAAAACTTATAACATAGAGACATAGAAGTACGGTTGCTTAATGAAACAGAAAAAAGTAAATTGTTCTTTGTAGAAGACGAAGAAAGGGATGAGATTGATACTCTCTTCATTTGCAGACAAGAAAATGATCTATAATGACAAGGATTTATGATGTCAAAGAAATATGTTCCCTTTCTGGATTTCTGGAATTGCAATTATACATATCTATATATGTATTCTACACATTTTGTATCTTGTGTATTTTTAGAATAATCAATCACATGTGTTAGATACCTATCTGTTGTTTATGTGCATCATCCTAACATTAGACTTTCTTTCTTGAGAATTCAAGAGACAGCAAAAGTATATTGTGGTCTGGGATCTGAGAGCTTGAGATGGAATGTTTAGACAGAGCTTGGCACTGCAAATGGGCCATGTTGGGTCCAACGGGCATTTTCATTCCAAAATTTCTCACAAAGATTCTTGTCCACACCTCTTCATGGAGATTGGGGTACTTCAAAGATGTTCTCACATTCTTCAGACAGTATCACACTGTTCATGATAATACATACTAGGTTTAAACCCTTCGTTGGTCCTCAAGTTTGTATGAAAATCTCAGTTGGGTCCTCAAGTTTTTTT